TTGTGCATCAGCTTCAAAATGAATGCTTGTTACCCCGACACAATGGTGTTTTCCAATAGTTCTGGTTTTTCAACTTAATGTCTATGGAGTTTAGGCGTAGGGAAATGTTCCCTTCGATGCAGTGTTAGGTAGATATTGTTGAATGTGGTTGCGGTCAGTCACCGTGAATATTGCAATTTTTATTAATCGTTTGCTTAAGCAGTTTATAGTTTGTATCCAGAGCCTGGAACCGTATACTTGGTCGAGCACCCTATGAAGACAGACTGTGCACAAAACACAATGTTTTTGAGACAAAACCAAACCCAGTACCTTTTGAAGCAACCTTGACGGATTAGACGGAAGTGTGAGTAAGTGGTTAGCAGCTCTTTCTACCAAGACAGCTTCATTGGTTTATAATATTACCGTATATTTCATGTGGCCTCAAGGATTGTGAGTGTCTGTTATGCCATGATCAACACACCATGGCATTTGCAGCCTAATACGCTCTGGCAGTTCTCTTGCACCTGATTCCTTGTCGGTGGATGCGCTTGCGCTCCCACTGGGTATACAGGTCGTGAGCATGGCTGTCCAGTCATCCTCGTCCTTCTGACCCATGTTGGGGTGCTGCTGTCTTTAGCTAACATCCAGGTAATTTACTGTGTAGACCAGAGGTATGGAGTGGAGCCCCAAGGTGCGGACTCGGAGGCATCATCCACATGGCGCCACCGAAACCGCATCTAGGCGTGCCGTCACATCTGGCTTGACCGGTAGTGCCATAAATGCCCCATTAAGAAGGAGCCATTACAGCTTGACTCTTAAACCACAAGCCGGCCGCTCCACTCAAACGCACAACACTTGGTCGACTGTGAATTCTAAGTTATCTCGTCAGTTGGCAACCTAGCAAGCCACGGCTTTTAGCGCACCGTTAGAGCTTCAAGTGCGTCAGATTGCTTATAGTGACGGAAATACACTGAGTCATCGACCTCACGCTCCCATCCCATTCCCAGGCCCCAGTCACTGCCCTAACCGGTCACCTGACTGCAGCGGAGAATGGGCGCGACGGCTGACATAGTCTAGTGACCTTGTCTGCGCGCGCCATATGCACAACTTGGCACCTCCAAATACAAGCACCAGGATTCACACAACGGGAGTTGGACGGCGTACATCTCACATGCGTGAGAGTGCCGTAGTTCACGTTAAGAAGGAGCCGTTACAGCCTGGCTGTCAGCCCACCAGTCCGCCACTCCACACATACACACACGACAGTTCGACAATCGCGTCGCACGATGTTCACCGTATGCACCAAAGAAGGGTAGGGCAGGGATGTCTACTTGCGCGTGAATTAATTTATATCGATATTAGACTTGCACAGCATCTACCGTACTTCCTCCTCCTAACCCACCTGTACCTGGTGTCAAGACATAGTCAAGAAGGCCGGAGACGGGGGAGGGCGCAAGTGGATGACACGGTCGAACTCGCACCTTGACGTTCCACTCCACACCCCCTGGTCCACAGAGAAAATAACCAGATTTTTGATCAGTAACAACAATGGGGGCCGCAGGGGTCCCAACGTGCGCGACATCTGCCGGCAACCGGGTCTGTCATCGCACATGTTGGCATTTGTTACAGTGCGCAATCCGATAACGTCCGCCAGAATCCGATATGGTCCCTGTGTTGGTCCAGCTCATCTAACAGGTGGTCCGTTCAGGGGGCAGCAGGTAATCACAAACACGCACACACAATATAATCCTTCTTTCCTCTTATAAAGCCTTAATCGCGGCAAATGGTATTCAGAAGACCACAGCTGATGAAGTGATGGAGATGCCAGAAGGCGTCAAATGTTCGACTTACCCTTCCAGTATATTTGTAGTTCACATCGGCTTCGATCCCATTCCTCTGAACGTACTGAAATGCCAGCGGCATGAGTCCCCCGTTGCAGCCTTGGTTGCCATCCTGCCAGCTGCAGTCCACCAACTGCTGTTCTGACAGGCTGCGCAATATCCCCGTCTTTATCTGGATTGCGCCTTCTATGGCACCGCATGCGGAAAAGGACCAACATGCTCCGCATTGACCCTAGCAGTTCGGATTTAAATAGTCTGAGGAAAAGTGCGTTTTCGAGAGTGAATGAGGGAAGGACACAAACAGTAACTTAGACGCTAACCGTTCCTTCACCTAAGATCCCGTATACTCGTGTCAAATAAAGTCAAAACACGCTGTTTTACAATTCTGAGCGTTTCAATCGAAAAATTGCCTTTGGTATTCTTTCCCCATAGCAATTACGCATTTGTCAGCAAAGATGACTGTTGCTGTTACGTTGGCCTATTTCAATGAGATCGAAGAGTTTTCCGCATATCAAACCGGAGGGCAGATAAAAGTTCGTTTGCTGCGGGGCAGCCAAGAAGTCAGAAACATTAATACATATAACAGTTCATATACAGTTCATCATATAAATATGTATATTAGATATACATACACTCATATATACATATATATAAGGCGATCAAAAAATCCATGGATTTATTTGCCTGACGTTTTAAAGGCAAACATGACAACAATCGTCAGGCCTTGTGATGCAGCGCGCTGGAAGTCAGTGACACGCCAGCACGAAATAAAACCCTTTAAATACTGTGACGTGCAGTACGCAACCCACCTCCGATGGTGGAAGCTTGTTTGCTTTCGAAACGTCAGGCAAATAAATCCATGGTGCCTGTGATCGCCTTATCTTCTCAGTTATATCCGGGAACACGCGTCTTCGTTTCAATCAGCAATATATATATATATATATTTTTTAGCCTACAATAAGTAAGGACTATTGTAGTCATTGAACATATTGTAGAACATGCCCGATTTGGACACATTGAAGTGTGTCCGTAGAAAGGGTCAGTTCTTTGGGGAACTGGGGAAGTAAGAAACATTAGTCAGGTGCATTTACGAAGACTGAAGTCAACTCGTACAATTACAATTTACTGTTATGAAGGTTATATCAGAATTTAGTATCTGACCTGATTTTTGACCGATGTAACGGCACCTTCCTTGTCCCAGTTAACGCTGTCGGGTAGGTCTTTGAGTAACGTCACGCTTACGGGCGCCTGGCGTCTTAACTTTGTTAACACCATTCCCCGTAAGCAAAGGTATCTTTCAGCAAACTCACGCGGCGTCAGGTCACTAAAATCATTTAATCGCACTGCATAGGATTCCAGCTGTTGATAATAGCGTTGATTATGTCGGATGATGAAGTCTAGATTGTTAAAGAATGCACGCTTTCGGTGGAGTTCCTCTTCACTACTGAAGTACTCCTTCTTGAAGGCCAATTTCCAGGCTTTCCACAATTCCCGCCGAACGTACGTCTCACTTCCGGTCCAGCCTCTGCAGACCGTCAAAAGAAGAAACAAGAACGGAACGTTTATCAGGAACTTCATGGTATCCTCGAACGGGTTATTTTGTCGTCCTTGTGTAGGACCAAATATACCATAAATGTTGATATCTATAGCCAATGAAATAAAGTGTGCAAGGTTACAGACGATCAAACGACATTTGCGAGCACACGAAGACGCTTAGCGTCTTCGGACATGTCAAACGAGTTGTTTTTTAGGTTTTCGGTGCTATTAGTCAGATAAACACTTTAAGGGACGCGCGTTTACCGATAGATAACTGAATCCTTGTGCACAGGGGATTTGATGGCAAGCGGTAATTTCATCATATACCTGACAGAATGACTTAAATTAGTACCAAATGAATTCCTTTGGACTTAGCTGTAGAACTATTGCTCTTCAGGTATACAAACCTAGTTATTCAGATGCCCACAATATGAAAATCAGTATGATGTCCATGCTAGACGGCTCTACATGGTTAAAGGAAAGATACCGGGCGTGTATCGATTAGCCATCCAGTAATCCATCTGACAGGCTGATTATGAACTTGTTGTCGACGAGAAATCATGCGTCACCTATTACCGACCATTCATAGGTGCAGTTAATAGAACAGAGTTCCATGTTAATCAGAGAGATGAAATTTAACGTGCCTGACAGTCCGACCGTCCTGTCCGACGATGTCCACCGTGTAGTCGACGACAAGGTGAAAGCAGGAACGGTGACGTGAGCATGATTACTGTTATATTGATGACAGACATGCGACGTGACTTCCGTACTCCTCCTCCTCCTCCTCCTCCTCCTCCTCCTCCTCCTCCTCCCCGCCAACCTGCCCCCGGCGAAAACCGCAACTAGGCGTACTACCACACTCCCTGATCCACAACGTTCATTGAGCAGGCCTTTGCACCAAGAAAGGAACCAAGGGACGACTGGGAGTGCCACATAGGACACCTTTAGAAGGAGCCATTGCATCCTGACTCCCAGCTCGTCGTTCAGCCACTCCACATAAACACACTGGGCTGACTGCGAGGTCTGAGTTATCCCGCCAGTTTACAGTCTTCCAATCCATCCCTTTTTACGCACAGTGGCGGATGCAAGCGCGTCCGATTTTTTATATTGATGGATTTTTAGTTGAGAGTTAACCACACTAACTCTACCTTATCTCGCGCATTATTCGACTGTCCGCGCCGGCCAACCAACTGGTACTCGGATTGTGAGAGGTAGCTAATGTAGCTATAGAGCTCGTCTGCGCATTCCACCTAACTGGCCTGACTCCACATACGCGAACATCGGGATTTCATACATAGCGGTGTAGACTGCCGTGATCTAACATATAGTTGATGAGCATCATGGAGATAGGGAGCCGAAAAGCACACCGTCCACTTATTTGAGCGGTGCCAGTGCTGCGGGATGCTGAAGGAGTTTATGCATGGTGCATTTGTTGATTGGGGTATATGTGGTGATGTGGCCATGTCTACGGTCATTTACCGCAGGTTTCATGGATGCCCATGTGACCGAACTAACTCATACGATGACTAAATTCGAGGTAGCAATACGGACGATTCAGACGATGGCATCTGACGTACGTTAGTTTCCCCAGGCATTGCTTCACCAGTCTCTCTGCGCTGGATTCACTAGTGGCCGAACAGACCGATGTGTGAGGTGAGCGTGCCGTACCAGTGTGGACGGCTGTAAAATATCCGTGTCTGAGATAGTGTCTTGCCAATTCAGTTGTTGAAACTATCCTCGGAGCTTCATTACTCCCGCCCCAGTTTACCCAGACTCTCCGACATCTCTGACGCAGCCATCGAGCGTTTGCCGCAAGTGGAGACCAACGCGGACCTCGACCTCCCGCCATCACTCCAGGAGACCATCAAGGCCGTGCAGCAGATCTCCAGCGGGAAAGCACCCGGATCGAAGGCAATCCCTGCTGAGGTCTACAAGCACGGAGGTCCCCAACTCATGGATCACCTGACTGCGCTCTTCCAGGAGATGTGGCGTCCAGGTGAAGTCCAGCAAGATTTCAAGGACGCAACAATCGTGCACCTATACAAGCGAAAAGGGAACCGCCATGTCTGCGACAGTCACCGCGGCATCTCCTTGCTGAATATCGCCGGGAAGATCTTTGCTCTGGAACAGGGCCTTCTGCCGGAGAGCCAATGCGGCTTCCGTCGTCATCGTGGGACCACGGATATGATCTTCGCCGCCCGTCAACTTCAGGAGAAGTGTCAGGAGATGCGGACCCACCTGTACTCTACCTTCGTGGACCTGACGAAAGCCTTCGACACGGTGAATCGTGAAGGACTGTGGAAGATCATGCAGAAATTCGGCTGTCCGGAGCGATTTACTCAGATGGTGCGTCAGCTGCACGACGGTATGATGGCGCGAGTCACGGACAACGGAGTTGTCTCAGAGGCATTCGCAGTGACCAACGGAGTGAAGCAGGGCTGCGTGCTGGCGCCAACCCTCTTCAGTCTTATGTTCTCTGCCATGCTGATGGACGCCTACCGCGACGAACGCCCCGGGATCCGCATCGCCTACAGGACGGACGGTCACCTCCTAAATCAACGGCGGATGCACTTCCAGTCGCGCGAGTCCACAACCACCGTTCACGAACTTCTCTTCGCCGACGACTGCGCCCTGAACACCACCTCGGAAGAGCAGATGCAACGGAGCATGGGCCTATTCTCCGCCGCCTGCGAGAACTTTGGGCTGGTCATCAACACGCAGAAGACGGTAGTGAAGCATCAACCGCCGCCCAACTCAGCCACAGCCCCCAACGCGTCGCCGCAAATCAGCGTGAACGGAACCCAACTGCAGGTGGCGGAGAACTTCCCGTACCTGGGTAGTACTCTATCCCGCAACACCAAGATCGATGACGAAGTCGCCAACAGAATCTCGAAAGCCAGTCAAGCCTTCGGTCGCCTCCAAAGCACAGTTTGGTATCGTCATGGACTTCAACTGAGCACGAAGCTAAAGATGTACAAGGCTGTCATCCTGCCGACGCTACTGTATGGAGCGGAGACTTGGACGGTGTACACAAAGCAGGCACGCCGTCTGAACCACTTCCACCTCAGTTGTCTTCGTCGCATCCAGAGGCTGAACTGGCAGGATCGAATCCCCGACACTGATGTGCTGGAACGGACGGGAATCGTCAGCATCTACACCACGCTAAGACAAATGCAGCTGCACTGGAGCGGCCACATGGTGCGCATGGACGACGAGCGACTACCCAAACGACTCTTCTACGGAGACGTCGCGACGGGTTCTCGCCGTTAAGGAGGCCAAATTCGTTGATACAAGGACACTCTGAAGTCCTCCCAGAAGTGCCTGCAAATCAACCGGACCAACTGGGAAGAGCTCGCACACGATCGACCGACCTGGAGGAGGGCAGTGAAGACAGGCGCTGCGATCTACGAAGCCAACCGCATCGCCGCCGCCAAAGCGGAACGCGAAGCCCGCGAATCACAACTTCGCCCAGTCCGCAACGCCGACGCACAACCGCTACCTACGTGTCCTCGGTGTCAACGGAGATGCCGGGCTCGTATTGGACTTGTCGGACATCTTCGGATCAACTGCGCCTCTCAGACTGCACCAACCATCGTCCCCGTCCTCTCTGCCGCCAACTAACTACGACAATTCTTCTGAACCACCGCTTCCATGCTCCTCCTCCTCCTCCTCCTCCTCCTCCTCCTCCTACTCCTCCTCCCCCTCCTCCTTCACTGCCCCAACGGCGGCCGCTCAGGCGGCCGTCTTGCACATCACCAACCGCGACACAAAAACAGACACCACCCCCACCTCTCCCGACTCCAGTGATGAGGATCAGGACTACACCTGCCCTCACTGCGACCGCACCTTCACCTCACACATCGGCCTGGTCGGTCACTTGCGAATCTAACGCACAGAGACTGGCGAGCCAGTGCCTGGAGCGCCAACCTACACCCACCTCACTCGCCTCCACTGCCCACACTGCCCTCGCACTTTCAGGCACCGAATGGGTCTATTCGGCCACATGCGCATCCACGAGAGCGGAATTGACCACAATTCCGACACACCCACCATATCTAACACATCCATCATGCCCAGCAGCACCCACGCTCCATCGCCATACGCGCCCATCACCACCACCACCACCACAACCAACATAACCACTACCACAACCACTGCCTCCTCTACAGCTGACACCGACACCGCCGACTTCTCGTGCCCACACTGTTCACGCACATTCACCTCACGCATCGGCCTGGTCGGTCACTTGCGAATCCATCGCACAGAGACTGGAGAAACAGTGCCTGGGGCACCAACCTACACCCACCAAGCTCGTCTCAACTGCCCACACTGTCCTCGCACCTTCAGGCACATGGCCATCCACGACTGCCTGCGGTAGACAACCGCCGGTTACACCACACATTCACATGCTCCCTACCTTCCTTCACCACCACTACAACCATCACCCCACCACACATCAACACGCAGCCACCGCAAGCACCCAACTGCCACCTACCACGTAAGTGGGAAGTGTGCATCTCGACTCTGTACCCATGCGGCTTCGGCTGCACGGGTGATTTGCGTCCTAGACTATCCCGACACGTCAAGTGTCGTGGATAGGAAGGTTGCTGATTGACGCCCGCTCTCGGTTCACGCAGTTCGTCGCGTTGTGTGTGTGTGTGTTGTGTGGAGTGGCGGAATGGTGGGCTGGGGACGGGCTGAAGCAGCACCTTCCACGGTCATCTCACGCAAGTGAGAGACACGCTGCTCAACCCCCGTTGTCTGAAATCCTGGTGTTTCTGTGTGTATGGGGGACCAGGTCGTGCTGTGGTCCCGCGCAGGCATGGTCAGTCGACCGCGTCAACCACCGCGCCCATTTCCCACTCCAGTTTGCCGTCCGAGCCATCCACCTGCGGCCTCCCTCGTCTCCGGTCTTCTTGACTTGGTCTTGACACCGGACTCATGCGGGGGAGGAGGAGAGAGCGTAGGTAGATGCAGCGCAAGTCTACTGGCACTATAAAATCCTGCGCCAGTCACCGTCCCTGCTCCCACCGCTGCTGCAGTCTGTGGGGCACACGGTGGACATCATCGAAATCGATGGTCGAACTGTCGTGTGTGTGTGTGTGTGTGTGTGTGTGTGTGTGTGTTTGTGATTACCTGCTGCCCCCTGAACGGACCACCTGTTAGATGAGCTGGACCAACACAGGGACCATATCGGATTCTGGCGGACGTTATCGGATTGCGCACTGTAACAAATGCCAACATGTGCGATGACAGACCCGGTT